TGCCTCATGCAAGCAAGGCAAGTGCTCTACCACTGAGCTATAGCCCCAGCCTAAGATCAATTTATTTTTGACAATTTTTTTTTATTTTAAGACAATTCAATAGGGAAAAGATAGTTCCCAACAAATAGTACTAGGACAATTTGATATACACATGCAGAGAGATGGATTAAACCATCACCTTGAGCCATACACAAATATTAACTCAAAATGGATAAGAGATCTAAATGTAAGACCTGAAACTATAAACCTTTTTTTATTTTTTAAAATTTTTTGTAGTTATAGATGGACAGAATGCCTTTATCCTATTAGTTTATTTTTATGTGTGCTAAGACTCAAACCCAGTGCCTCACACATGCTAGGCAAGCACTCTACCACTGAACCACAACCCCAGCCCATGAAACTATAAACCTTTAAGAAGAAAACATATGAGTAAATCTTTGTGATCGTGGGTTAGGCAGAGTATTCTTTTTTGAGGGGGTTGCTGGAGATTGAACCCAGGGCAGGGGTGCTTTAACACTGAGCTACCTCCCTAGTCTTTTGTTTTGTATTTTGAGATAGGACCTCACTAAGTTGCTGAGATTGGCCTCAAACTTGAGATCCTCTTGCCTCAGGCTCCCATGTCACTGGGGTTGCAGGTGTGTACCACCATGCCTGGCAGGCAAAATGGTTAATTTGAGGGTGGTGGTGTACCAGGGATTGAACCCAGGGGTGCTTAACCACTGAGCCACATCTCCAGCCCTTTTTATTCATTAAAAGAAAATTTTTTAGTTGTCAATGGACCTTTATTTTATTTATTTGTTTATATGTGGTGCTGAGATTCAAACCCAGTGCCTCACACATGCTAGGCAAGTGCTCTACCACTGAGCCAGAAACCCAGCCCCCTTTTTTGTTTTTTGAGGCAGGGTCTCCCTAAATTGTTTAAGGGCTCATTAAATTACTGAAGCTGGCCTTAAACCTTCAATTCTCCTGTCTCAAGCTCCCAAGAAACTGGGATTACAGGGGTACAGTACCACATTCACCACGCCAAGTGTTCCGAAGATATGACACCAAAAGCATGATTCATAAAAGAAAAAATGAATTGGACTTGATAAAAGTTAAAGAAAAATCTTTTGTTCTTCAAAGACATCAATAAGAAAAAAATGAAAAGACAAGCTGGGTAGGGTGGCACACACCTGTAATCTCAGTTCCTTCAGAGGCCAAGGCAGGAGGATCACAAATTTATGGCCAGCCTGGCCAATTCATGGAGACCAGCTCAAAATAAAAAGAAAAAAAGGGTGGTGCCCAGGGGTGCATGCCTGTAATCCCATGGACCCTGGAGGCTGAAACAGGAGGATCACAAGTTCAGGGCCAGCCTCAGCACCTTAGCAAGACCCTGTCTCAAGATGAAAAATAAGAAGGGCTGTGGCATGTAGCTCAGTAGTTAAGTACCCCTGGGTTCAATCAACAGTACTGCAAATAAATAAATAAGAGTACAGACTGTGAGAAAACATTTGCAAATTATACATCTGATAAAGGATTTTTATCCAGAATATAGAGAGAATTCTTGCAACTCAATAAAAAGATAAATGGGATGGGGGTGTATGTAGCTCACTGGTAGAATGTGTGCTGAGCATGCTGAAGGCACTGGGTACAATCTTAAGCACATACACAAAAAAAGATAAACAACTCAATTTTTTAATGGGCAGAAGACTTGAATAGACATTTTACCAAAGAAGAGATATAAATGGTGAATGGTTAATAAATCTATGAAAAGATGCTCAGGCTGGGGGTGCAGTTCAGTGGGAAAGTATTTGCCTAGCATGTGCTCAGCCCTGGGTTCATTCTTAGCAGTGCAAAAAACAGAAACAAAAAATATGTTCAACATTCATTAGTCATTAGGGAAATGCAATTGAAAACCACACCTACTAGAATGGCTATCATAAAAAAAAAAGACAATTACAAGGTTTTTTTTTTTTTTTTTTTTGTACCAGGTATTGAATCTAGGGAAACTTAACTACTGAGCCATATCTGCAGCCCTTTTCATATTTTATTTAGAGACAAGTTGTTTAGTGCCTTGATAAGTATGATGAGTCTGTTTTCTTTTCTTTTTTTCTTTTTTGTGGTGCTTGGGATTGAACCCAGGGCCTTTTACATGCAAGGTAAGTGCTCTGTCAACTGAGCCATTTCCCCAACCCCTGAGGCTGGCTTTGAACTTGTGATCCTCCTGCCTCAGCCTCCCAAACTGCTGGAATTACAGGCGTGTATCACCATACCTGGTGACAATTATAAGTAGTGTTGAGGATATGATGACACTGGAGCCCTCATATGTTGCTGGTGGGAATGTTAAATGATACAGCCATTTTGAAGAATGGTTTAAATGTGTCTCAAAATGTCAAATACAGATTTACTACATGACTCAGTAATTATTCAACTAGATATTTACCAAGGGAAATTAAAACATATTATCATAAAAACTTGTACACAAATATTCATTAGCAACATTATTCACAATAACCAAAAAGTAGAAATATCTATTAACTGGTGAATAGATCAACAAAATGTAATATGAAATTGTACTCAACAATCCCAGCTCTGCTATTTACCAGTGTGTTATTCAATCTTTCTAGGACTCAATTTCCTCACCTGCAAAATGGGAATAATACTAGAAACCTCATTGGACTGTCATGAGGTTCATATAAAATTAACATGCTTCACTGGGGCCAATAATTTGTTAACTTTTTTTGAGACATGGCCTGAAACTTCTGGGCTCAAATGATCCACTGTTTCAGTCTACCATGTAGTTGGGACTACTAGCATGGGCCACTTACTGGGCACCTGGCCCAATAAGTTTTTGATGATAGAGCATATTATGTGCTCTATTTACTGTCAATGCTCCCCCCACCCCATAACTGGGGATTGAACCCATGGGAGCTTTACCACTAAGCTACATCCCCAGCCCTTTATATTTTTTGAGACAGTAGCCCAGGCTGGTCTGCCTCAGCCTCAGGAGTCAATGGGATTATAGTTATAGGCCAGCACATATGGCATCAATGCATTTTTTGAGATATAACTCACATATCTTAAGATTCACCATGTTAAACTGTACAAGTCACTAATTTTTAATATATTCACAAAGAATGTGCAACTATCACCACAATCCGATTCCAGAGCATTTTCATCACCTCAATGGGTTTTCTTTTTTTTTTTTTAAAGAGAGAGTGAGAGACAGTGAGAGAGAGGGAGAGAGAGAGAGAATTTTAATATTTATTTTTTAGTATTTGGCAGACACAACATCTTTGTTTGTATGTGGTGCTGAGGATGGAACCCGGGCTGCACGCATGCCAGACGAGCGTGCTACCGCTTGAGCCACATCC